TCCTATCCTCCTGCCTTTTCCTGTTACCTCCTTTATTTTTAGAGGATGACCTCCCAAATTGGACACCTTATTTGCCATCAAGCTCAAATCATGCATCTTCTCTGGAGACTTGCTGAGTCCTTGCTAAAAGTTTTCTCTTAGGTTGTCATTTCATGGTATACATGATTATTGCATTAATTATGTGGAATTATAAAACCCACGCCACACCTTCACAAATGTCCATAAGCTCTTAAAGGGCAAGGACCAAATCCTACTAAGTTTTTTTTCCCATAATATAGCTCAGCAAATGAGCAAGTACTCAATAAAAATACTGTGTAAATAAAATTGAATGAAAATGCATGTGTCAGTTCAGTCATTTGTCTAATGCTGATCTTTCATCTCCTATTTTGTCTCTTCTTTATTCACATCATTGTGTACCATATATGAAGTCATCTGCTGCAGCACTGTAATGCATTATTCATATTTTAGAGCCTTTTATGGAATGATTAATTTGACAAATAAAATACTTAGAGGTTTTCAGCTTTCCGTTTTACTCACATCTTGGCTGAAAACATTGAACAGCTATTAGCAGCACTACTCTTAAAGGTAATGGCATCTTATGAACACGAATAAACTGTAGTCTAAGTCATTTTAGGAAAAAAAGGTGTTTCAATAAACTAACTTTTCTGAATCAAGTCGTTTTAAAAAAAGATACCCACAATAACATAGTCATAAATATTTGCCAGCTGAAAGTGACACTTCCATGAAAATTGAAGTATTCAAAAAAATGCTTTATGTAATTTTCAGGAACCTGAAGTCATACTTACTTTATTTCTTTTATTATGTAGTCTAGTAACAAAATGTGTACTCCTTCAGAAAATGTAGGATATTAAAGCTGTACTAGGCTTCCAGAATTACAATTTTCTTCTAGCAGTACTTCACAATTAGTACTCAAAAGCACTCATAAATGAACTAGATATTATCTTATTTGAAAATACTATTTATGTCTTTTTCTGAAGTAGGTGTCCTTTAAAACTTAAGCATCAATCTCTGAAGTGAAACGCACATGTAATGGGCATAAAGCAGTTAACTACAAAATCTTCTGTGACCACAAAACAATTTTGGAAGACTAAAAGAGCACACATGTGAGAGCATCTTGCAGTCAAAATTCAACCAAGATGAATTTCAAAGCTATTTTAGATGACAAACACCCTTCCCCTCACTTCAGCAACAGATATTTTAAAGTAGTAAAATACTTTTAGGAAAGTTATAGCAAAAGAGAGTAAGTAGCAGAAATGGATATTTCTGCATTGCACTCATTGGATACATTTCAGGATTTTTAGCTCAGCACATGCCCATATCATCATCTTCTACCATTCACCCTTCATTCCACCCACAGCAGTTTGTCTTTTACTTCTTGCCTCAGAATTCTTTGGACTAAAAGGGCCAGAGACATTACAAAATTAAAAGAGGGTTTTGGGCCTCTGAATTCTATGAACAGGAAACAGACTAAGAATGCCATCACTCTGCTGCAAACACAGGGCAATTCTCATTGAAAAGGAAAGAAGGCTGGCTGCGGTCACTCACACCTGTAATACCAGCACTTTGGGAGTCCGAGGTGGGTGGATCATCTGAAGCCAGGAGTTCGAGATCAGCCTGGTCAACATGGTGAAACACCATCTCTACTAAAAATAAAAATTTAAAAAAAAATAAGAAAAGTTAGCCAAGTGTGGTGGTGGGCACCTGTAATCCCAGCTACACCAGGAGAATCACCTGAACCCAGGAGGCAGAGGCTGCAGTGAGCCAAGATCATACAATTGCACTCCAGCCTGGGCAACAAGAGCAAAACTCCATCTCAAACAAAACAAAACAAAGCACAGAAAGCGTACTCAGATGTCAGAACCAAGAGCCATGGAGAATGATTTCTAGGATGAATAACTAATCCCTAACCAAGAAAATCATCACTGTGTCCAGATAGATTTCAGAATCGCTATGGACTAGGGATAAAAGTGTCTTCCATTTTCTTCCTTTGTGAACTGGAGTGACTATAGCCATTACGCTGTGCCTGGCCCACATTCCATCATCGTATGCTGAGTATGTGGGGAGCAGATAATTTGTCTTCATTATTCACAGATTTTCACATTGACAAAAACTGTATTAGAGGATTTATAGTCAATTAATTGCAAGGAGCCTCATGGACTTGGATGTAATGTACTTGGACCTGATTTGGATTGTGGGATCCTGCACCATGAATTTGACCATAATGCCATAATGGAATGAGATATGGGGAGGCTTGAAGATGATAGGAGTTTATCTTGCAGGTAAAAAGGTATAAATTGTGTGACCAGAGGGCATACTGTCTTTTCAGAAAATGTCCACAGCAATTCTTTCAGGCCAGAATCTTGCCAACCGACCAGAAAGAAGTAAAGCTGTATTTTTTCTACCCTTGGAACCAACAAGCCTTTGTGATACCTTCAAAGAACAGAAGTTGGTGAAGTAATGACGCAAAATAGTTAAGGTGAGGTCAAAAAGAGATATACAGCTTCTGCCTGACTCTCTGTCTCTCAGAATACTTACTGCTATGACTCAACCACACTGTTATGAAGAAGCCTTCATAAACCACATGAAGTGGTGACATAAAGGTATCCCAGGCAACAGACCCAGCTAAGTTCCCAGTTGACAGCCAGCCTCAAAGGCCAGACATGTGAAAGACCAGCCATTGGCAACTGCTAATTGCCCTTAAGGACTCTCCACTGGCACCGCTGCTTTTGGAAAGCTTTCTCTTACTCCCATGACCTGGTGTGGATTCCCCTCCTCTGGGTCCCTAACATTCTGTGCCTTTTCTAGTGGCACAAGTCACACATACATTGACTGTTAGGTTAATATCCATCTCCCCCATCAGAAACACAGATCTTACTAACCGTGCCTGTCTTTCTTATTTATATTCTCAGCACTTAGAATAATGCACAGTGTATAGTTGACCGATGGTAAATAAATGTATTGAACCAATGAGGTAATAAATATAAAACCAGAAATAGTAAAAATAGCATAAGTGATTAAACTAAGATAGTTGAACGAGGACACCAGCAAACTGTTAAATTTGCTTTTAGTGGACAGACACTTTGAGAGCACTCTGCAAATAGACACTAAGACAAATATCAAAATCTAAGGTACGGGTGAGAAAGGGATGGCAAAATGACAAACTCAGTGTTTGCCTCAGGGTATTTTACACCTTGAAAAATCACTGGGAGTCCCAAATAGCTTTTGTTTACATGGGTTAAATTTTTCAGTATTTGCCAAATTAAAAAATTAACACTGAGAATTTCAAAATATATTTTTTACTTACTCATCTTTCAATAACAGTCAGAAACCAATTATTTGCTAATATAAATAACGTTTTATTAAAAATAACTCTATTATTTAAAAAATAATTTAGTGAGAGGAGTGGCATTGCTTTATAATTTTGAAAAATTCTTTCATGTCTGGCAGAACAGAGATGGCTGGATTCTCATAACAGCTTAGGCATTCCATCTGCTATGATATACTGTTTTGGTTGAAGTATATAAAGAAAATCCATCCACACACAGATATGTAGTTGAAAAAAATTAACTTTCTCAGATAATCATGATACTTTGACACTTCATCAAAACTCAAGTGATAATTTCCTAAAGGTTAGTTTCAATAAGGAATCTAAAACAATATTAATGAGCTTTCACTCTCAGTTATATTAAAATCCTTTGATCTATCCTGCACTTCATATGACTCTTTTAGTCATCCACAAATTTGTAACATCATATATTGGTCATTTAGAAAATGTTGGTTCATTGAGCTATCCAGACTCTTCAAGTGTTAAAATACTTTATAATTCAATGTCAAAAATTCAAACTTGACACTTTCCTGGCATTTAAAAACTTAGCTGATAAGGTCAGAGGTGATATTAACAATGATTAACAAATATTAACAATGATATTAACAATCATTAATATCATCTCTGATCTTATCAGCTAAGTCTTTAAATAATAGGAAAGTGTCAAGCTTGTAGTAACAGGCATAGTTTTTAGAAATTCTAATTTTGGTTGAAAATCTGAATTTTATCATTAGCATCAGATATTATTAACTGTTTCCCTTGAAGTGAAAGGCTCATTTGATCATTTCCAAGAAAATGTCACTTAAATACTCAAATATGAATATCTATAGTTTATCTCTCAGCTGTTGTTTCAAGTAAAAATTGTGTTCTGTGAACAAAAAAGTGTCTACTCCAGCTCACAGCTCAAACAATCATGCACATGCTTCTTCTTGAGACAACCATCATGCTTTGGAATGCAGCAGAAGTGCTGTATGTGAATCTCCCATTTCATCACACAGAGTATTAGGGGGAAAAAGGTAATCAAAATTTGAGATGTAATAAAGTCAACAATTATTGCAGCTTTATCCAGGACATTTGTTAGTAAAACTTGTTCCTTCATTTATTTTTTTCCTTCCTTTCCTTTCATTTCCTTCCCTTTCTTTTTAAATCTTAAATTATTGGTATTGAGGTTTCAGCATCAATAGATTAACTCTCCATTGCTTTCAAAACACCAGTAAAAATGCCAACAGAAAAAGAGACAAATATTGTCTCAGTATTAGAAAAACAGTTTGGCCTCACAAAGCTCCTTCAAGGTCTTGGGAAAAATTATATTCCCTGCTCCTCTTTCCTTGCTCAAGTCTCTGTAGAACACACTTTGAGAATCATGGTTTCATCTTTACCCAGTCCTCACTAAGAGCTTTGTTTGTTTTCCGGTATTAAACAAAGAGTAAATTTCAGAAATGCTATATAGTTAAACTTCAGATTTTATAATTCAATGCATAATTTTTAGAATGACATTCACATAGCTTTGCTAACAGAAATTAACTAATTAACATCTCAACTAATTTGATGTGAATGATATTATATTAAAATAAAACTGGAGAAACAGGATAAGGAAAAAAGAAAGAGGAGTAAGTCTGAGTTTATAAATAATAAATAAATTTCATACTGGCAACTTGTTTATTATAAAAGATGTGCTAATTATTCTCAGATATTAGGTATTACTATATATGTATATATGGATGCATGGGAATGAGTCTAAATAGACATACAGTTGTAACTGCATGTAAGTTTGCATACATTTTCTCCCATAATGTGAGTTCAATTCTTTTCAAGAAGACTCATCTCTATACAGTTGCAAGGTAAAGCGTCTATACTGGTTTAATTGTGTTCTCCCTAAATTTCTGTATTGAAGTCCTAACACTTTGTGCTTCAGAATGACTCTAACCCAAGATGACTGGTATACTGATGAAAACAGGACAAAATCCAAGATGACTGGCCCTAATCCAAGATGACTAATGTACTTATGAAAACAGGAGATAAAGACATATACACACACAGAAGAAAGATTATGTGAAGACAGAAGAAATAGTTGGCCATTTAAAAGCCTAAAGGAGAGGCCTCAGAAAAAAAAAATCAACCCAGATGAAACCTTGATCTCAGACTTCTGGCCATCAGAATTGTGAGAAAACAAATGTCTGTTGTTAAAATCATTGTGGAAGACAGTGTGGCGATTTCTCAAGGATCTAGAAATAGAAATTCTAGAAATTTCATTTGACCCAGCAATCCCACTACTGGGTATATACCCAAAGAACTATAAATCATTCTACTATAAAGACATATGCACACATATGTTCATTGCAGCCCTGTGTATAATAGCAAAGACCCGTAACCAACCCAAATGCCCATCAGTGATAGACCGGACAAAGAAAATGTGGTACATATACACCATGGAATACTATGCAGCCATAAAAAATAATTTTGTGTCCTTTGTAAGGACTTGAATGAATCTGGAAACCATCATTCTCAGAAAACTGACACAAGAACAGAAAGCCAAACACCGCATATTCTCACTCATAGGTGGATGTTGAACAATGAGAACACGTGGACTCAGGGAGAGGAGCATCACACACTGGGGGCAGTTGGGGGGATAGGGGAGAGACATCAAGGGGTGGGGAGGGATAACATGGGGAGAAATGCCAAATATAGTATGCACCTAAAGTTAAATAAATAAATTTTAAAAAATTAAAACTACTCAGTCTGTGATATTTGTTATAATGGCTCCAGCAAACTAACACATTGTCTTTCAAATTAGTTGAATAGAGGTAGTTCAGTAGAGCAGACTAAATAGATATTTATTACCATACAGTAAGACCAGTTAAGGGAGGATGCTCAGAATCAGTGGGACTTCACATTTTGAAACTTCCAAATTCTAAACTTCAGCTGAAACTGTTCCAACATGGAAGTTATTTCTCTGCGGAAGTATGTTAGTCTATTTTCACACTGCTGATAAAGACATGCCTGAGACTGTCTTTATCAGAAGAAAAAGAGGTGTAATGGACTTACAGTTCCATATGGCTGGAGAGGCCTCGCAATCATGGTGGAAGGCAAGGAGGAGCAAGTCAAGTCTTATATGGATGGAAGCAGGAAAAGAGGGAGCTTGTGCAGGGAAACTCCCATTTTTAAAACCATCAGGTCTCCTGAGACTCATTCACCATCACAAAAACAGCACAGAAAAAAGCTACCCCCATAATTCAATTACCTCCCAAAGGGTTCCTCCCACAACATATGGGAATTGTGGAAGTTATAATTTAAGATGAGATTTGGTGGGGACACAACCAAACCATATGAGGAAATAAGCAAGTTCTCATATATATATTATTTCCCTGATAACTCTGTTCTGAATCCAACCAGAAATATGCCATGGCTGTCTGTTACCTATTGTTTCTCTTCTATCTACTGTGATCTGTAAATTACTTACATTTAGTGAACCACTGAGCTTGAACACATTTCACATCTCTCATTCATTCATTTATTCATTTATCTTCTTCATCATTTAAAATTGGAAAAACCTACTGAGAGTCAACTAGAATTAAAGAACCATTCCCTATGCTGGCAATACAATTAAAAAAAATAGTTCCTGCCATCATGGAGCCTACATTCTATTAGGGGAGACACAAGATAACAACAGCATCAACATCAAAGATAATAATATCCCAGCTACTTAGATTCTATGAAGAAAAGTATATTACACATAGGATGGAGACCAGGTGAGGCAATGCTATTTTACTCAGAGAGGCATCTCTGATGAGGTGAGAGTTAAGTCCATTCTGGAAGGAAGTACATGTACAAGTCAGAAGATATATGGAAGAACTGCATTCTCAGCAGAGGAAATAAAGTTCCAAAGCCCTGAGGTGGGATTTGTGGAAGAATCTGCGGATACCTGGATTAGAGAAAATAAAGAGAATAGGTTAAAGAAATTTGGAGTTGGCTTTGGAGGTTATTCTAAGAAACATTTTATTTTTATTCTTAGTAAAATAAGAAACCATAATGCAGAGAAGTGATCTAACATTTTTTAATTAGTTAGTTTATTTATTTTGAGACAGAGTCTTGCTTTATTGCCCAGGCTGGAGTGCAATGGCATGATCTTGGCTCACTGCAACATCCACCTCCTGAGTTCAAGAAATTCTTGTGCCTTGGCCTCCCAAGTAGCTGGGATTACAAGAGCGCACCACCACACCCAGCTAATTTTCATATTTTTGTAGAGATGAGATTTCACAATTTCTCAGGCTGGTCTCAAACTCCTGACCTCAGGTGATCCCGCACTGACCTCCCAAAGTGCTGAGATTACAGGCATCAGCCACTGTGCCTGGACTCTTAATTTATTTTTTTATTTGACACATAATAATTGTACATACTTACCTGGTACAGTGTAATGTTTCAATACATATATACATTGCATAATGATCAAATGAGAGTATTTAGCATATTCATCACCTCATACATTTATTATTTCTTTGTGGCGAAAACACTCAAAACCCCCTTTTCTAGCCATTGTGAAATATGAAATACAATATTGTTAACCATAACCACCCTACTGTGCAATGGAACACCAGAACTACTTCCTGTAACTTTGGACCCCTTAACTCTTCTGTCCCAATCGCCCCCTACTCTCTCCCTTCCCCATCATCTGGTAACTGCTGTTCTACTCTCTACTTCTGTGAAATCATTTTTTTTGTGTGTCCACATGTGAGTGAGATCAGATGGTATTTGTCTTCCTCTGCCTGGCTGATTTCACTTAACATAATGTCCTCTAGGTTCACCCATGCTGCCACAAATAACAGAATTTTATTCTTTCTACTGGCTGGCATTTTCCGGCCCAGTGGGGTGGCTCACTCCTAATAATCCCAGCACTTTAAGAGGTCGAGAAGGGTGGATCACTTCAGCCCAGAAATTCAAGACCAGACTGAGCAACATGGTGAAACTCCATCTCTGCAAATACAAAAGTTAGCCAGGTTGTGGTGGTATGCTCCTCTTTTCCCACTACTTGGGAGGCAGAGAAGTGGGAGGACCACAGCTAATACAATATTATTTCTGGATGTTTGTGAGATTGCCATTTGAATCAGCAGACTGGGTAAAGAAGATCTGTCCCTAACAATGCAGATGAGCAGCATCCAATCTGTTGAGGACTCAAATAGAACAAAAGGCAGAGGAAGGGCAAATTCATATTCTCTCTCTCTCTCTCTCTCTCTCTCTCTCTCTCTCACACACACACACACACACACACACACACACACACACACACACTTTGATCTGGGACATTGTTTTTTCTTGCCCTCAGAAATCAGAGGTTCAGGTTCTCAGATCTTTGGACTCTGGAACTTAACAGCAATGCCCCATGCCCCAGTTCTCAAGCCTTTGGCCTCGGACTAAAAGTTACATCCTTGGCTCCCCACATTCTCAGGCCTTCTAAGTCAGGCTGGATTACACCACTGGTTCTCCTGGTTCTCCAGTTTGCACATGGTAGAGGATGGGACTTCTAGGCCTCCAAAGTCACATAAGCTAATTCTCAAAATAAATCTCCTCATAGATATGCATAGATCCTATTGGTTCTGTTTCTTTGGAGAACCATGACTAATACAAACAACAGTTAGTATAAGTTGCTTCACACTTTACCTTTGGGTAACCTTCTTTATGTAACAAAAGCCTGACTGAGCAAACCGATTAGTTAAACAAATAATTCCTTTTTCCCATCAGAAATACCTAAAATTCTTCCTCTAACCCAAGAGAAAAAAATCTTAAATTTGATACAATTTACAAAAGAGATTTATAAAGTGATTCATGTTTTCCTAGTGAAGAAAAGTAAACTTATTCATTAGAACTCTGATATAATGGAGTTATAACATCTTATTTATGGAGAGGCACTCATTGTTTTGTCTCTCTGTGTCTTTCTATGCAAAGGCCAGTGCAGTTCATACCATCAAGAGCTGTCTTTCTGAATGTAAACCACATTTAATGGTATCACTTACACATAGAAAGTTTTCTATTTTCTTTAACTTATAGAAAATAAGATGAGAAGTAAAAGACTCCATTTCCCAGAAGTCATGATCAAATTTCAGATGATTTTTTCTACTCCATAATAAGCAAATATAAATTTAAGCCAGAGAATCTTCTGAAAAGGCTTGGCAACATTATAAGAGATCATAGCTTTATAGGAGCATGTTGGAAGAGGTGAAAATCACAATGTTGATAACTTACAATAGCTAGTATGCATTATTCAGACAAAGCAAAGATTGTGTAAGTGATGTTTTATAGAGAAATTTTTACCAGGTTCGTCTAAAATGTTGAATCTCTTTTTCTAATTGTGAATAAACACATGCTTATTTGCAGATATCCAAATTTTACACTTGATCACAGGAGTAGCTAAAGACAGATTACAACATTTTATTCCCAGAAGTGGTTTTTCCTCCATGGTATTTGGCAATCTCTTCAAGTTTTTGTGGGGCTTTTTAAGCAGATACTTTAAGTTGCGATTTGAGTTACAGTTCGCATGTCATCCTACCATGAATTGGTAGAATTCAGGCACACAGACTCTACTAGAACATTATCGCCCTTCATCACCAGTTGATAAATATTTGGTGGATACAAAGCATCCCATAATAGTAAAGAAGGAATCAGCTAACAAAGGGAAAAGCATCATCCTTTCTAGCATCACTTCCTTTGTTAACTCTTCCATGGGCATGTACTTCTTTTCAAAATGCATGAAAAGTCAGCCTGAGTCACAGGAAGCCAGACAAATCTTTATTTTTTTAAGAAAAAGCTGCAAGTCTTAGAAGTACCATGTTGGCCATGCAATCAGGAAGAAGTGTATGGGTTTTACAGTTAGAGGTCTCACCTCAAATCTCAGCTCTGCTACTATCTTGCTTTGGGCAAGGTTTCTAACTTATCTGAGCCATGGATTTTCAACTGTAAAATGATCATAATAATTATAACCATTTCTTAGAGTTGTTATGATGAATAATGTGAGAAGATTTAGGAAGTACGCCTACACAGTATCTAGAAGTTTAATAAATGATAATATCCTTTTCCTTCCCACCTTCTGCTTACCAACCACACATCTGTATACCTCTCCTATTCCCTGAATTTACACCAAATTTTCAGAGAGCAATTCTTGCCATACAGCAAAAAAAAAAAAAAAAAAAAAAAATGACATCATTGTAGAGGCTGTGGGACAGAAAGCAAAGGTGCACACCTCATGGATTCTGATAAACATCTTTTCCTTTCAGCTAGCTACCAACATTGCCACAGACATTGAATCATATACCATATGAGCATTGCAAAGCATTTTTTTGCCATAAAATTTATAGGTGTTTGTGGGCTTTTTTTTTTTTTGATGGGGGGAGTTATTTCTTTTCTACCATCTGAGATTAAGAATGCAAGAAAATAGTGGTGATTAGTTTGTACAGAAATTTACGTTAGGATAATTAATGTTTCCCAGGTGTTTGATCAAATAAGAAAAAATGTGATAACTCCCCAGAATAAGCATTATGGTGATATTATACTCCTGTGTACATAAGGATGTTCTATGTAACATATCAGAAAAGATGAATTTAATACTAAAAAGACGGACTGTTATATGTAATTCCTCACTTGTCTTCTTTCTAAATAAAAGTACAAATCTCAAATGTAAGAGCTGATATGACATCAAATCTCCTTAGATAAACTAATTAAGGAAACACACCTCCTCACTTCATTTCTCAAAAAAATGTTTAGTGCCCCTCCAAATTATTATTTTCACTCATAAAAATAACAAATGAAGTACTGAGGTTATACAGTTATCTAGTTCTTTGAACTTCAAACCTATAAAATAGACATGACCAAGTACAATTCCCATAATATAGGGGTATGTGACCTGTAGCGCATAGAAGTGATATCTTTCCATTCCTTACCACATATACCATTTTTGCTCTTCTCTTTTTTCCTGTATAGTCTGCTCCTAATCTCACTTTTTAGGCTAAGAAGTATAAATGGAAATTAGTGTCTACTAATGGGAATAATCTCAGTTCTATTTGTATAAATGAACATGTGTGAGAATGTTTTTGGCAATACAAAGGAGACATGCAGATGGCACAGGAGAAAAAAAAAGGACTATTTTTAGAAATAGTATTTTTAAGCTTGAGGCATACAAAGCATTCCATGGAGTCCTTACAAAAATATGAAAGATCGAGAGATCAGGTTTGGGAGAAAACCACCCACATCACACACCTTGATTTCTTTTGGAAAACTCATCAAAACAGAGGTACTGAGGGAATGCAAAGGGAGCAGAGTTGGCAGTGTGAGAAAACAGGAAAAGCAGACAAAGAGAAGACATGACTGTGGTTATTTTGTGGTAGTTGTTGGTGCTGCTGCCCACCACTGAGTCTTACTCCAATGGCAGGAGCACCTTGTATTTGCCTTAAGAGGAATATACTCCCCTACTCTCAGCCTTCACGTTCATGATGAAGCTAACACCACTTCTCAGCTCCAAGAGTGGAGAATGAAGCCAGGTGAAGGCAATCAGTGCCTTTCATCTCCCAGGCCACAAATCCAGATGTAAGCACCTAACCTAGGTTAGACCAACCAGAACTATGGAGGCTCCATTTGGGGATTCTCCTTTTAAAATTTCCCAAAATATGTTGGGGAGTTGCCACCACCAAAGTGTGACAATGAAGACATCCTAGAGAAACTGATGCCAACCTTTGAGCCTAATTCAAGTGATGCAGTAAGGTACAGGCAGACCTCAGAGATATTGTAGGTCTGATTCCAGAACACTGCAATAAAGTGAATATCTCAATAAGGCACGTCACACATTTTTGGTTTCTGAGTGCATATAAAAGTCATGTTTGCACTATACTATAGTCTATTAAGTGTGCAATAATATTGTATGTAAAAAGCACAATGTAC